TAGATAGATAGATAGATAGATAGATAGATAGATAGATAGATAGATAGTTTTGCTTCTGAAATTAGGATATTTTCTAATATACTGTGGTTAAAATATTTTGATTCTCTGCTCTGCTGTGACATTTGTTTCCTAATTAATTAAGAATCAATTAGCAGCCCACGTGATCAGCGGTGGAATGAGAGGGGTGAGCTGGTTAGGCTAATTAAATAATTGGGAATAGCAAATTAATGTTTCATTCATTCAACCTTTATTTGTACAGGTTATGTTGCCCAGTTAAAGGCTTTCATCACTTCAAAATATTAACTTTTGTTTTTGTCCATAATCCATGTTGTTGTTTTTTTTTTCTCGTCACTCCTAAGAAGAAAACGCATTTTAAAGTTACAGTCTGGTCATTTTTTTTAGTGAGGGGAAACTTCTGACGTCAGAGTCTGCTCCGTTTAAAACAACCTGCCTCTGCTGCTGACGTCTTTTATAGCTACTACTTTTTTATAAGGCAAAAATATGTATCTGACAACAACGTGATTATTCTAGGGGAGAGACACGAATGTCACTCCTTTCATTAAAAGAAGAAAAAAAGAGGAGATTCATTTTGTTACAATTATCATAGTAATAATTATTTTTATTGGTCTATAATAGTTTTTCAGCGTTGAGAAGGCGTTTGAGAGGGAGACTTTCTTTTTTTTTTATACACTCAAATTAAACATGCCACTCTGCTTCGCCCTATAAGCATCCTGGGAGCCTGCTTGCCAATCAATTGTGAAACAGAACCGCAGCCTGCGCGAGTGGAGACCTGCAGTCTCGCTTCGTTTCTGGATATCGGAGGGACCTTTCTACCATGTCATATCCACAGTTTGGATACCCATATTCGTCTGCTCCACAGGTAAGCTGATTACGTTTTTTTTTTTTTTGGTTGTTTGGGGATTTTTTTTTGGGGGGGTGGGGGGTGTTGAATTGATTCCCTCATCGATTGAACGCCGGATCCTTTTACGCACTTTGGAGCAGATTCGGGCAGACTTCTGTAATGTCCTGGCGGCTATTGGGAAAGGTGTTGCGTTGCAGGCAGTGAAACCTACCTGTGTCTTTGTGGCGAGAGGGGAAACGGGGTAAAATGAGGGTAACCAGATTCCGCCGAGAGACCCCCCTCTGACCTCCCATGCACTGATTTCTGTAAGATAATAGCCGTCTGTAATGTCAGCCATATGTTTATCTGCTCTGGAACACACACGCCAACTTGTTCGGCACACGCCGCGCGTGTTTTTTTTTTTTTTTTTTTTTTTTTTTAACCCATAAGCCAGCTGTTGTTCTGATTTTGGCTGTAAGCCATAAATCATTTGGGCTTTTGTTTTTTTTTTTTATAGTTGAGAATGACAAGGTGCGCTAAGTGTTTGACCTGGATCCAGGTCGTGTTTGGTACTTTTTTACGCACGAAGTATCACACATTGTTGTCTTTTTTTTCTGCTTTTCATTTTTAACAAATAAAGCAAAATAAGAAAACGTATTGCAATGATGACTAAAGCCGTGGTGAGAAAAGTGAAAGTCGTTTCAGCAGGCTGTTTTCTCCCCCACCAAAGGAAACTTTTCACTAACTTCCTGTGTCCCAGACGGATGCGCCTTTACATTCCCACAGAATAAACCCCAAACAATAACTTGTGCGTCCTGTCTGTGCCGGTTCAGTTCCTGATGACCACCAACTCTCTGACCACTTGCTGCGAGTCCACGGCCAGATCCATCGCCGACTCCGGAGTAGCAGCGTCCGGGCAAACCCCCGTCTACTGCCCGGTGTACGAGAGCCGGCTGCTGGCCACGGCGAGGCACGAGCTCAGTTCAGCCGCCGCGCTGGGGGTGTACGGGAGCCCCTACACCGGAGGACAGGGATATGGGAATTACGTTACATACGGCACGGAAGCGTCGGCTTTCTACTCGCTGGTGAGCCCTCTGATTAATGGAGCCGCGGGGGGGCTGACACTCCTCATCTTTTAATGTCCTTTATCTCCAAAGAGCTGTAATTTACTCTGCCTTACTTTGACTTAAATTACCCCCCCCCCCCCCCCCTACTCCACAGGGCCCACACCCGGGAAGAAGCCCACGCCTCCCGGGCGGATGGTACCGAATTCCCCAAATCCCGGTCTCCGCTGTAGGG